GGTGGGAACAAGAACAGAGAAAAGATAGAGAAGCATCACAGAAAAAAGGCTGAAGGAGTCAGTCTTTGGCACACATTAGAATTTGGTTCCTGTCAAATATCCCGTCCTACTAACAATGGACAACTTACTTAACTCAAATTCTTCACATATAAATTGCTGTGGTAATAATGGTATTTCATACTATTGTTAGGATGACACATATGTAAAGTGCCAAGCAAAAAAGTAAAATTCACTTAATTTGGCTATCACTAGTATTTTTTCAAAGTTTCAAATGTCCCATTTTCTCTAGAGTATTGCTGTTTAGATATATTCACTTGGAATGAAAATGGTTACTAGACATAAGAAGCAGAAAAAAATTCCATGTTACTTTCAAGATATTCTCTGTCTTGATTCCCTCTTTAAATCTCATACTAAAATATGAAGGAAATCTAACTTATATCCCCATAAGAAAAATGAAGGTAGTATCTTTTAGAAATCTCAAATAATTATAAAATAAGGCACATATAAAAATATGTTAGATGTTTCAGAAGGAGATTGCATTTTGTGTTAAAAAGGAAATGCTTACCAAACTCTTATAGCTTTAAAACACAAACATGAATATTATAGCTAAAATTCCTAGATTTGAGTGTTTTTCTTGATCTTGGTTCTTGATATGTCAATATTTGCATCACAATTAGCATTTTCTGCAGGATATCAAGCAAACTGATTTTAGGAGCATATTTGGAAAATGAACAAAGTGTGACAGAAAACCAAGTATTGTGCCCAAATTTTATGTACAATGTTCTTTTTAATTTTTTTCCTTTTTCTTTTATTATTCATATGTGCATACAAGGCTTGGTTCATTTCTCCCCCTACCCCCACCCCCTTTTAATTTTTTTTTGTAGTACTGTTTTTGTTGTTGTTTTTTAGTGGGTCTGGGGCTTGAACTCTGGGCTTTGTGCTTGCAAAGCAGGTGCTCACAAAGTAGGCTCTCTACTTCTTCAGCCATACCTTTAGTCCATTTTGCTCTGGTTATTTTGAAGATGGGGTTGTCTCACTATTTGCCTGGGTTGGCTTTGAACTGTGATCCTCCTGACCTCAGCCTCCCAAGTAGCTACAATTACAGGTGTGAGCCACCAGTGCCAGGCATATACAATGTTCTTTTCTGAGGATAAACCACCAGCTTAAAAACTACTCAGTCAAGGGCAGAAGACTATGAGAGACCCGTGTTTGTGGACACAGTACATGCTGTTTAGGGGCAAGAATCGAAGTCAATTCTAAGAAAACTTCTTAATATCTGAAACAGTATAAGGATTCCTAGAAGAGAAATTCAATAAATAGCTATTGAATGAACATGTGAAAGAGTTCTTAGAGAAAGCTGCATAAGAAATTTATTTTCCCTTACACTTTAAACATAATAAGAAGAAACTGATACTACAGCAATCTTTCAAAACACTAACAACAGAATGAAACATCGTAACTTGTATACTATTTATATTAGGAATACAACAAGTACAAGTTTTAGAAGAGGTATTTTTCTTAGTATAAATTTCTTGAGAGATTGTAAATCAATGCAATCTCTTTAAAAGGCAATATGCACCCAACTCTTAAAGTTGCCTTAGACTCAGCAATTGCTTTTTAAAGATATCAATAGAAATACTTTTGCTGTCTTAGCTATGAGGATGTTCACCATAGCATTGCTTATAACAGGTAATTTCAAAATAAACTAAATATCACATAACTATCTCCATCTGTGGCAAGGAGTTTTTCTAAAGTAAAAGAGAGGTGCTTGGAAGATTGGCAGACCTGAGTCTGAATCTTCCTGCAATACTTCTCAGCAGGTTAATAGCCTCTCCACAACTTTTGACATGTTCTGTGAGAACAATGGCTACTTTGAGTTGTTGAGATTGAAATAATGAATTAAAATGATACATGGAAAGAACTTGACAACAAAGATTGTCATCTACTCTTTTTCCTTTGCAACCTTCCTTATGCAGATAAAATAAAGATTAGGCTTACCAGGAGGCAAAACAAAGACTCTTAAAATAGAGGTGGTAGGAATCTCATTTAAAATCATTCTTTGGGGTTTCATCTGCAGTACAGCAGCTCCCTGGCTGCAATCTACTGAAACAGAAGGGCTTTTGTTTTGTTTTGTTTTTGTGGTGGTACTAGGGCTTAAACTCAGGGTCCTGGGTTTGCTAGGTAGGCACTCTATCACTTGAGCTATTCCATCAGCCCAACATAAGGGTTTGTTAAGAAAAAAAAAAAAGCATAAAAATAAAATTGTCCTAAATCAATTTGGGAAATCCATAATAAATACATTTGTGTTTGAAAGAGGAGTACCTGATGACAAGGAATTGATGGAATGCATCTTGTTTGCTTGGCAAATATGCAATCCATTAAATAGATCTATAGAATATTGATTATATTACAAGGCATCCTGCTAGACAAAGGAGTTGGGAACAAAAAAGGGAGGTGATTCCATTAACTGAATAGAGAAATGAATGAATGGATGGATGGATGACCAATGAATGCTGGACCTTTTCTGATTTTCCTCAACTCAATCACCAGTCTTTTTCTGAGCTGCTTCTCTTGTTTCACCTAACATTTTCTTTACTATGGCATTGAGTAGTGGGAATTCCTTCAAAGGCTTGACTAAAATATAGTCATCCCATTTGGCTCAATTTAGGTAAGAAGTATATATGCAGCAAACCTTTGCGTGGGTTTCAAAACTTTCAAAATAAAAGTTTAAAAAACCATAATAGAAGGTAATTACTATGACATGTATCAACGGCTTTATGTCATCATTGCTTATAACAAAAATAATCAGAAATGATTCTGATGTCCCAAAGAGGCAAATAACTAAGAAAACTCACATAATCAAGAGGATAAAATACTGTACAGCAATTAAGTGACATGCGTAGACTTTGCCAATTCCTGGAAAAATGTAATGAAATTGCATGAAATGGGAAAAAAGTAGAATATAACTCATAATTATAGCAATGAAAATATGTGTGATACACATTTATAAAAAATGTCTTTGGCTAGGTAGGACTATTATTTTCTCTTCTAGGTAAGGTTGCCCATATTTATAATAAAAATAAATAATTAACACCTATAGTAAATCCTCTTTGCTAATCAAATTTATCCTACACTGGAGGGCAGAATGGCTAGGGAAAATTGCCTGCTCGTGAAAACCAGGATCATCTCTCAATTTCATGTTAATTTGCAGTGATACTTTAACAACTGACTCCCAGTTACTGATGACAGTTTATCCTACTGTAATAGAACCTAATGGCAGACTTGGGGTATTTTTTAATCTGAGTAATTATTCAGAGAAACATACTCAACACAAATATTTGATCACTACTGTTAGATTTTATCTTTACATGATAACCACTTAATCCTTTAGCCACAAGAGTGCATATCAGGTTAAAAAAAATTAAGCCTGCTGGCTTTCACCATTCCTGTGGTTTGATTTCATGTAGGATAGATCAGAATAGCTGGTTCACATTTGGAAAGAGAGTCCCCCACTGTCTTTCATGAGCACTGTGTTTGAAAAAGTAAAAACTTACCAAATCATTTACTACTTAAAATTAACATCATCATCTTGTAGTTTAAATGATGGCGGCACAATAACTCAAGTTAGCTGTGTTCTAGATTTCCTTTATTAATATAATTAGAATTCTTACATCTTTTTAAATTGCTCTACTCTAGCCCTAGGGGAAAATGATTTCAAAAGATTGAATATAAATGCTGATTCAAGATACAATTTCTCCACACTCAACCTCTATAAGTTGGGCTTATAGACAAATATAGAGTAATTCTGGCACCAACTCTTTGGCAATGTTGTTTTAAATTAAAGGTCCTACTATACATAGCCCAGGATTTTTGTTTTGCATTGTATGTTTATACTTTTTCTTTACTATAAGAGCCGTAGTCTTAATTCTTTTGAAAAATGATTACTTAGGAATATGGTCATTAAGGGAATCCTGACTCAAAAACTCAGCTAAAATCCAGGAAAGTTTGAACACACCTTCCAGAGTTAAGATCCAAACTGCATAAACTATACAAAACTTTTAACTCAAACATTAAGTTTTCTGGTAACATTTGGGGGGGGAGTATCAATATAAGATTAAGAATAATAACATCTGATAAAATTATTTGGCTCATCCAAAGTGATTTTGGAGTCAATCCTGGCTAAAAATTTGCCTTCTGGGGTTGGGGATGGAGCTCAGAGCACTTGCTAGCATGTGTAAAGCCCTGGGTTTGAACCCCAGGGACCCCCTCCCTACCAAAAAAAATTACCATTTGAGTGAGCTTAAACAAAATAATTTCTCTATGACTCAAATTTCCTGTCTTCAAAAACAAGAATATATATACATATATAATTTAAACAATAAAACATAATTAACATGAATGTGCTAGGAGGAACATCACTTACTGGTAACATTTATATTTAGCAATTGTCTTCTTCAAATGAATACATTTAAAACAGATTTTAGTCACAGAATACTTTGACTTTGCGAAACTTTAAGCCATAGAGCTAATTATATCTGATAAAATCTTACCAACAAAAGTGCACTATTTTGTTTTTTTTTTTTTAAAGAGACTTGAAGAAATGGTAGTAAAAGTCCAAATCATATTTAAAGAAGCCAACAAAAAGGTAAACTGAGATGACAAACACTTCCTTGGGAGACGTTACTCCTGAAAAGAAACTAAAATACACATCCCAGATAAACAATGTCAGATCCAAAAAGACAGCACTCCAGTAACAGAAAGGACTCAATGACACGGAATTACAATAGAAAAGCGCAGTAAAACGCAGTTCACCTTTTTACTCTCCTGACAAAACAAAATAACAAACGAAACCAGAGAACCTCCAACTCTCATGGCACTGGCTAACCTGTCTGGAGGCCGTCGGAGTGGTGTCATGGAGAGGGGACAAGAGGCTGAGGCATATTTAATGGAAGAAAGGCAGGGCTGAAGGCTGGGGACAGTGTGCAGGAGGCGGACCCTACCTCTCACGGATTTCCCAATACTGTGCAGGTGAGTGATAGAACTGTAGTTTTGGGCAACTCTCTTCAGAAACGCTTCCATGTCTTCCTGGTGGTGGTATCTGAAATCCAGCGCAGCTGCCAAAGGCAGGAGAAGCCCTAGCCAGAGGCACGCGAAGTCCATGTTCTAGAGATGATAAAAATAAGAATAAAAGCTGAGAACCGACGGAGGAAGCAGGGGACATTCCTAGCTCGGGCTTGCGCTCCACTCTCAGGGGTCCGTGACATCACGCTTCGAAGAAGGGGAAAGTTGGAAGCCACACTCGGGGAGTTAGCAGTGCCAGCGGTGGCGGCGGGAGCACGGGCAGCCCTTGGTGTCACCCCCAGCCGCGCCCCGTCCCGTCCGGTCCCTCCTCCTCCTCCAGCAGCTGCAGCAGCTGCGCCCGCCCCGCGCGCATCTCACCCCAGCTCGGGCGCGCATCTCCGCCCGCCGCGGGCCGCAGGGCCGTGCCGGGCCGGGAGTTATAGCCCGGTCAGCGGGGCGGGCCCACCCTGGCCCCGCCCCCGACATCCCGCCGGCCACTCGGGAGCCGCGCGGGCTCCTCCTGGGCGGGGCCTCGGCCGCCTTCGCACCTAGGACAGCGCGCGCCCGCGCGCCGGGGTTTCAGGGTGCGGCCGCCTAGGCAGGTGGGCGGCGGACGGCGACTGCAAAGCCCAGCAGTAAGCTCGCTTGCGGACGCCGCCTTTACCCGCGCCCCGGGTTGGAAGGGGGTCCTGGCTTCGGCCACCGCTGCCCCAGCGCGCTCCGTCGAGGGGCCTCTAGCTGTCCGCCTCAGCCGCGACTTTCCCGCGGTTCATGGTCTCCAGGCCCAGCTCTGTAATTGCATGATGGACTTTTAGGATAAAAGAACGTGCATGCGTGCGTGTGTGTGTGTAAGAAAAGTGCTGTCAAGTGTGGAGTACGGAAAATTTCCGACACGTTTATATGGTGGATGGGATTTGATCAAATTAGTTACATTTAAAACGAATTCACAGAGCCACTGTTGAAAATCCGATTCACCCATTAGCCAATTTCGGTTCTCTCCTAAAATGCTGCCATCTGGAAGGATGGGATGGTCTGTGTTTGCATTAAGGTCAATAATGATCACTGAAGTCTGAGGGGTGGTGTGGAGGCGCAGGCCGTCCTCTACATACTAGCCGATGGGTTTGGGGAGCACTGTCAGAGACTTAAGGACCCGTGCAATCGTCGGGAATACAGAAAGTTCGAAAGCCACTGATTTTAGATAGCATTCTTCTCTAACAGATTAGAAATACTGATGTCAGGGCCCTACTCCAAACGAATGGAGCAGAATTTCCCTCGGGGATCTGCGAGAAAGTATTTAAAAAGAGACCTTGCATGACTTCTGCGTGTCTTCCAGAGTGGAGAACCACCTGACCCGACTTTGTTACAAATACAGATGCTGTTGGTAGAACTGAGTTCCTGGGTATCTCTGGGCCCTCTGAGACTTGGGGCAGCAGAATCCAGGGGTTTAAGAGCCAAGACTGTGGTGTCCCACCAGGCTGGGTGCCTGTCCTAGCTCTGATGCTTGGTTGTGCCAATTTGCTGTGCCTTAGTTTCCTGGTTTGTAAAATGGAAACCATAATTTTACCCGAGAAAAAGTGGCAGGCATATTGTGAGACCCATAGGGTATTTAGTAAATAAACAATCCAGTTTAATTCATAAATCTTTAAAGAGAAATTTCAGAGTGCTGGAAACTCTTAATATGACGCTGTTAGATCTTTTAGTGGCTTTTTATGCTAACTGTGATTTCCACCAGGTGACTTGAAGAGGTTCTCCTACTCAATAATCAACAGGCCTGAGAGGAGGGGGACTGTGCTTACTGAACCTAATCTAGGCAAAGTTAGTAAAAGGGATGGGAGTGGCAGGTTATAGTAAATAAAGTGAAGGATTGTTGATGTACAAAGAAAGCATGCACTGGTGACAGAAGCAAAGGGAAGATCTACACTTCTTGTAGTGGTGCTGTGGCTGAGGCTGGGAAAAATGGTGACCTCTTCAATGCCAAGATGGTAATTGCCAGTACTGTCGAGCCAGAAAAACAAAGGAGTAGTGTGCAGTTGAAGTTGCTGCCCTTGGAGTTCACACTAGGTAAGAAGGAAAGCAAATTCAGGAGACAGAGAATGGAGTTAGGAAATACAAAGGACAGAAGTCTGAGCGTTTAGACCTAGTGATTTCTCTCTCCCCCCCTGTAATCCAGGTACATAGACATCACCTGGGAGCTTGTCCAAACTGCAGAATCGTGTCCCACTCCAAGTCTACTGAGTCAGAACATCTTCTTAGTAAGATTTCCAGATAATTCATCCCTGCAGTCAAGTTAGAGATACACCGGTCTAGAGGCTAAAAAAAAAAAAAGTTCAATGTTAGAGCATGACAGGTACAGGAAAATAAAAGATTAAACTCACAGAGGAACACAATAAAGTTCAAGATTTCAGAGGGATCTTTCTAGGCACACCATTAAAGGAAAACCCATAATAAAAAGTCTGATAATTTGGCAACTTAAAATGTATGCCTTCTGCACAGGAAAACCCAGCATAAAGTTACAAGAAAAATGGCAAGCAGGATGTTAGGGTTTAGGACCTGTCCTCCACAGCTTAGTATTGAAGGCTTGGTCCTAATGCAGCAGTGTTCAGAAGTGGGGCTTTTGATTGGATCATGAGGGCTCTGATTTCATCACGAGGTGAATCCACTGGTGGGTCTGTAATTTGATGGAGTTATTGGGAGGTGATGGAAACTAGGAGGTAGACCCTGATTGGAAGTCACTGGGGACAAGGTTTTGAAGGGTATTTCTTTTTTCTTTTTCTTTTGTTTCATCTTCTTCTTCTTCTTTTTTTTGGTGTTACTGGGGTTTGAATTTGGGGCCTTGTAATTATGAGACAGGTGCTCTACCACTTGAGCCCCAGCCCTTTTTAGCATTAGTTATTTTTCAGATAGGATCTCACACTTTTAGCCTGGGGCCAGCCTCCTGCAGCAATCATCCTGCCTACACCTCCCTCATAGCTGAGATTATAGACACAAGCCACCATGACTACTTGTTTATTGAGCTGGGGTCTTGCTAACGTTTTGCCCAGGCTGGCCTCAAACTTTGATCACCCTGATCTTTGCCTCCTGAGAAGCTGGGATTATAGGTATGATCACCACACCCTTGAAGGGTATTTCTTGTCTCTGGCCCTTTCTGCTTACTCTCTACTTCCTGCCTGCTGTGGGACAGGCAGCTTCATTCCACTGCGTGCTCCCACCATGGTGTTCTGCCTCACCATGGCCAAGTATCTATGGACCGAAACCTCTGAAACCATGATTCAGGAGAAATCTTTCCTCTTTTAGGTTGTTTTTCTCAGGTCTTTTGTCATAACAATGAAGGCCAGCTAACACATTAAAAAACAGAATTAGTAACTCTTGCAAAATCAAGAACAGGGAAAAGACATTACTAGGCAGTTCATAAAAGCAGCAATACGAATTGCCAATGAACATAGCAAAAGTTACCAACCTGGTTAGCAATCAAAGAATTACAAATTTAAAGGACAAAATAATATTGTGTTTTGCTTATCACTTAGAGTGATTTAGAAAGATTGATCATGCTACAGATGGCTAGGGAGTGGGGAAATGACATTTATCCTATTTCAATTACTATACACTGTTACTGTTACACATTCTGGAGGGCAGTCTGGGAAAACACAACAAAATTTTAAATGCTCTATTCCTTCTATAGAAGCAATTTGAAGATATGCTGAGTTTATGCCATGTATACTAGAAGCTTCAAAATATCACTTTTGTAAATTGTGACATAAGTAGATAAAAGCTAAATGTCAAACAATAACAAGTTGACTAGACCAGTAGTTCTCAACAGGAAGGAGACTTTGGCAGTATCTGGAGACATTTTTGATCATGGAGACCTGGGGAAAGGTGTTTTGGTATTTAGGACTGATGCAGGGGACAGGGAGGTTGTTAAGCATCCTACAATGCACAACCTGTCTCCCACAACAGACTTATCCAATGCAAAATTCCAGTAGTGCTGAGGTTGAGAGCTCCTGGGTTAGCCATTCAGTAAATTATTTTTCAGTCATGATAATGATGTGGCCAGTATTTATTGACTTGGAGAGCTGCGTCATTCAGTGGCAAAAAAGCAGATAATAAAAGTAAAATGAGTAGTAGGATCTCTTGCTACAGCAGATAAATAAAAAACTTTTCCTAGTAGAAAGTTTCAAAGTTTACAAACATGCTGAGTGCTAATCCTGGGGTTGTAATTTTTAAATTTTCTTTTTTTTAACCTTTATGTAAAGTTTTAACATTTTTCTAACAAAATAATGCTTCTTTTAATAACAAAAGAGGAGATTTCTATCTAAAAGCAAAGCTGAGCAAAAAGCACAGAAGCATTAGAGATGAGCAGTTCTGAGTATAGATTAAAATGTCTTTGGAGTGAATCACAGAACTGAAGAGGAAGTAAAAGGTCACTGGAAAAATGGGATGTTAAGGAATTTAAAAACTAAGGTTTTGGATTGTCCTTGCTTAAGGACTTAGAAATCTCTAATACAGTAGCAAGAATTGGAAGAGAGTTAAAAAAATGCAATCAGGGGCTAAATACCTCAACAGTTAACAAGAGAGGAAAGAACAGTATAAGTAGACTCTGTGACTTTTGAACTTTTTTCTTTTGAAAGTGTCACAAGAACATGTGAGTGAGATAAAAGGCAAATTAAAAACCTGTAATTTTCATTTATGTTGAAACATCCATTCCTATGGTGCATTTAGCTGTCAGTTGGTCCCCAGTGTTGCACATTTCTTGCTAATATTTCATGATCATTAGCATTCTTAGACTAAGTGCATTGTTGTCTCTTTAAGTCAATTCTTAGGCATTGCTAGGCAAAAGAGCATGTGCATTTTTAAGACTTAAAACACTTGACCAAATTTTACTCTGATAAAATGTCAAATGTATAAATTTCAAACTTAAAAAATAGTTCTCATAAAAGCACAGAGTAAGCACAGACTAAATTTTTATTTTAATTTGTTAATGATGAAACCAGCAGCATAACAAGGTAGGTTCAAAGAAGGATACAAGAAAGTAAGAGTAAAGAAAAAAGATGAAATCATTCTAAATTATTGCTAACCCAAATATTAGCCTGATTAATGTCTTAGGGCAATAATCCATAGTAGAGCAGAAGTCATTTTTATCTATGCAGGACAAAATTTTTCTCTCTTCCTCTCTCTCCTGGGTTTTGCTCTATAGCTGAGGCTAGCCTCAAACTTGTGATCCTGCTACTTCAGCCTTCTGAATGCTAGGATTACAGGTATACACCACCATACCTGGCTTTATATTTCTATTGGACAAAAATACTAACATGCTACTAATTTTCTACAAGTTAATATCTACATTTACACCTTAAAATGTATAAATCAATAATAACTAGCAAGTCAAAGTTTGATTCACTTTGG